TCTACTTGGTCAAATATTAGCATTAGTTTGGCTTTAAGAGCTGATTCATTGAAATCATTTTTGGTTGATTTTAATACAATTGCTGAGTTCTAAAGGCAATGAGGAATATAATGCTTTAAAATTTTATATTTGAAACATGTGTGATTTTTAAGGGGTACACTGAACCAGGTTCATTAATCCATTAGTTTATAAAAGGAAGATTTAAAAGTTAATATACCTGAGAATCATTTCGAAAAAGAAGATATATGTAAAAAAGTGAAGTATTTTATACCTGTATGTCCAAAATAGCTTTAAAATATTGCTTTTTTTATTTTTATTTTTTTTGAGATGGTGTCTTGCTCTGTTGCCCAGGCTGGAGTGCAGTGGTATGATCTCAGCTCACTGCAACCTCTGCCTCCCGGGTTCAAGCGATTCTCCTGCCTCAGTTTCCCAAGTAGCTGGTCTACAAGTGTATGCCACCACACCCAGCTAATTTTTGTATTTTTAGTAGTGATGGGGTTTCACTATGCGTTGGCCAGGCTGGTCTCAAACTCCTGACCTCAAGTGATCTGCCCTCCTTGGCCTCCCAAAGTGCTGGGATTACAGGCATGAGCTACCACACCCAGCCGGTATTGCTTTGTTAAGTCCAAACTTAATAGGACTTTGAGAAGAGGAGACAAAAAGAGCATGGGAATAGCAGTTCAAAAAACCTGAGTCAGATCTTGACTGATACAAGTTATGTGACTGTGACTGTGGTACTTCATGTTTCTAAGCCTCGGTTTCCTTACGTGTAAAAGGGAATAATGATAATAGATAATCATAATACAAAATCACAAGGTTGTGATTCTTAGATGAGAGAATGTACATGAGAACTTTTTGTAACTGCAAGGAGTGATGGTTTCCTACACCACAAACAGTCAAATGGTCAAATAGTAACATGCATACCAATGTGTCTACTCTGAGGAAGAAAATAGGACTTCATTCCCACAGAAAATTTCAAACAGGCAAACCAAAGTCTCTTACATTTCTATTAGAAGATTCAAAGTCAATTTGGAACTCTCTATACATTGATTCCATACATAGGTAAATTGTAACTGGGTCTGACTGTATTGTTGGTGGTCACATCTCTTAACTGGTTTCACCATTTTGACTGATATTACAGACAGCTAAAAAACTAGCATGGCTTTCCTTGAAAATTAAATGAATGGATAATGCACAGAACCCAGGATATTCTGATATCAAGTACACACAGACTGATAGTATGTAACTCTAATCTTTCCGTTACACTATTTTGCCCAAATTTAAGACTCTTTCTTTTCTCAGGTTTATATCTACCTTTCTACTACTCCAGTTCTCTACTTTTTTATTTATTTATTTATTTATTTATTTATTTATTTATTTATTTTATTTATTTATTTTTTTGAGACGGAGTTTGGTTCTGTCACCCAGTCTGGAGTGTAGTGGCGCAATCTCAGCTCACTGCAACCTCTGCCTCCTGGGTTCAAGCGATTCTCCTGCCTCAGCCCCCGGAGTAGCTGGGATTACAGGCATGCGCCACCACGCCCAGCTAAGTTTTGTACTTTTAGTAGAGATGAGGTTTCACCATGCTGGCCAGGCTGTTGTCAAACTCCTGACCTCCAGTGATCCACCTGCCTTGACCTCTCAAAGTGCTGGGATTACAGGCATGAGCCACCATACCCGGACAGTTCTCTACTTTTTGATTTTTCTTTGTCTTAGCAGACAGAGGCAAAGATGAACTTGTACTTGGTTTTTATCATGATTTAAAGATTGACATAGCATTGTGACTAAATTCTTTAGTTTCATAGAAATATAATGCCTTTTTTTGACATTTACTATTTAAAAAAATATTATGTCATAATAGTGGTGGGCTCAAGCTTCCCGCCACAGAACTTGGAAAATGCTTTAGCCTCACATACGTTGTTCTAAATATAAAATATTCTCAACAGGACGTATGAATTGCTTTTCCAGTAATGGGAAAAAAACTGTTTGATGTGAACTTCATTTCTTGCTTTCTTCTCTTTCTGAACAAGGCTTCACATTTATAATGTAGCAGAATTATCATCAAAGAAAAGAATGGAACTACCTTGACTCGGTTATATGCAAACCAAAACCTTGGATTTATCAGCTTTCTGCTAAAAACACTTTTTAAGCATATCTTTAAGGTCATGTTAAAGAATAGAAACATGAAATTTGCTACAATATAGAGCAGATACCACAAACTGAGCTGTTTAATAGGAGAAGGCTGTGTATATGTGGGTTTAGGGATGAAAAGTTTAAAAGTTAGAGTTATACAAGGAGAAATATAATTTCAACAAGCCACATTTGTATTATGAATAAAGAAAGCAACTTCATTGGTTTTAAACTAAATTCTATCAAATGTGTATCTCCCCCAGATATCTAGAGATAGAATCACAGGACTGAACTGGATGTGACCTTAGACAAAATAAATTTCCTCATTTAAAAAATGAGGAGAATTAAAGCTGAGAGAGGTTAAATGGCTTTCCCACAATAACATGGTCAAATAATGGCTCAACTTAAGTTTGAAGTTAGACCTCCGAATAGTCACTCCAATGCTCTTTCCTATATCATACTATCTCCTTACATGTGTTTTCCTGTACTTATAACCAAGTTTTTATTCACTGTAATGAATGGCTACATATTAAGCTATTAACTTTTTTTTTTTTTTTTTTTTTTTTTTTTTTGAGATAGAGTTTCACTCTTGTTGCCCAGGCTGGAGTGCAATGGCGCAATCTCAGCTCACTACAACCTCTGCCTCCCGGGTTCAAGCAATTCTCCTGTCTCAGCCTCCCAAGTAGCTGGGATTACAGGCATACACCACCACATCCGGCTAATGTTGTATTTTTGATAGAGATGGGGTTTCTCCATGTTGGTCAGGCTGGTCTCGAACTCCCGACCTCAGGTGATCCACCTGCCTCAGCCTCCCAAAATGCGGTATTACAGGCATGAGCCACTGACTCCAGCCACTATTAACAGTTTTTCATACCTTACATGCAAATAAATACTGCAACTAGAATGGATCACTTAGCATTGATTAAAAAAAAAAAAAAAAAAAAAAAAAAAAAAAAACAAAACTTTTTCCACTAGTCATAATCCTTTGACCTCATTTGGAAATCTACATGCCACTGTCACAAATCTTTTACCACATTCTGAAAGCAAATGTGACATTCTACTCTCTAAAGTAAATTATAAAATATAATTCTAGAGCACTTAAATGGGACTAATGTGGCCACTGGTTTCCTTTGGACATTTATTACTTTCCTTATTTACACTTAAGATGAAAAACATACTAAGGATGAAACAGATAAGATTTTAATAGTACTCAACCACTATGGAACAAACAGAGAAAGGCATATAATCACTTAACTATATTCCCTTGCTTTAGTCGATGCCACTTATAACAATCTATAATACAAATACTTTAGGACTATCCATCATGACAAGAATTAAATTATGTGAGATCTCAAGAGGTCTTGGATTTACAACTTATTTTTATTAAAGATCTAGCAATTCTTTAACAGGGCTTTCAATCACACCCCTAAATGGACTGACAATAGGAAAGTGATCTGGTTTATTACATTTTTCTTTTTAAAAAGTTAAAACCAAGTATTTTTAAACCCAATTTCCTCAGGAGCATACCTTCTGCATCCTATGAAATTGGAAAGGAGAGAAAATGATTCTCTAATTCTATAGTTAAACTAATTTTAGGGTGTTGGGGTATAACATGGTGTCCTTCACACTGAGAAGGTAGACACATCTCTTCCACCACAACCATTACTCTACGTGAATTAACTCATTCAATGTTACAGTAACCATGTTGGAGATGAGTAAATGGACAACCACAGAGATTAAGTGGTCTCAAGGTCACTCAGCTAATATGTTAGATTCCAAAATCTGTGTACTGTAATACTAATAATAATATCAAGAACTAGAATTTGTAGAGTGTTTATCATTTGGCATGTTTGCTTCCAAGCACTTTCCATTTATTTTGACTTATTCATCCTAATAATAAACTGATATTGTAGATAATTTTATTATCCCATTTTTTTTTTCAGATGAAAGACTGAGGCTCAGAAAGGTTAAGTAATTTGCTCCAGGTCCCACAGCTAGTAAGTGTGACCTTGAGCACACTGACATTCCCTGTATTTATTGTGCAAACCTACGAAAAACTTTCACATGTAAGTTTGTGATAGGATGCTCTTTCTTTAAATGACTTTTGGACATATCTTACTATTGACTCTTGTTTAAATTAGGATTACAAAGGGAAAGATGTTTTTAAGAATCCAAGCAGTAAGAGTACAAAGGAACTGCATGGCAGCAATTCACTTCTTCCATCATGATTCAGCATTATTTTCTATGTTTATTGTAAGAATACTGCTACACAGAGTTTAGATGTTCCCTCTAACTCTCATGTTGACATGTGATCCCCAATGTTGGAGGTGAGGCCTAGTGGAAGGTGTCTGGGTTGTAGGAATGAATCCCTCATGAATGGCTTGGTGCCATTCTCACGGTAGTGAGTGAGGTTTTGCTCTAGCAGTTTTCATGAGAACTGGCACCTCCCCTCCCTCTTTTTCTCCTCTTCTCTTGCCGTGTGATCTTTGTACACCAGCTTCCCTTTGCCTTCTGCCATGAGTGGAAGCAGCCTGAAGCCCTCACCAGAAGCAGATGCTTCTTGTACAGCCTGCAGAACTGAGCCAAATAAACACCTTTTCCTTATAAATTACCCAGCCTCGAGTATTCCTTTATAGCAACACTAAACAGACTAAGACATATACTAAAGTCTAACTTTTCATTGCTTCCAAAATTAATATTAATAATTTGAAAACGTTTAGATGGGAATTATAAACTAATATAAAATATCCTATCCTCACAAATATTACCATGAACATTAAATGAAAAAAGTACTTTCATTGTTCTTTACAAATTGTATCTGTATATTATTTTACTGTAACAAAGGACAACAATGTTTACTATGTGCCTACCTGCAGAAGCTTCCATCTGGTGTTCAGGTCTTCCAGGGTGCTGAGGTTATATGGTGAGAGCTGAATGCCCAAAGTGGTAAGCTGGCGAGCAAGGTCATTGACGTGGCTCACGTTCTCTTTCAGAGGTGCAATTTCTCCTCGAAGTGCCTGTGTGCAATAGTCAAAAGCAAATTGGAAGATAAGAATATTTAAAACAAGAAGAATTGATACCTGGGCTTATTCTCTTTAGGGTGCGGTGCCAGTAAGGTTTGCTCTATGCTATGGTTTGAATGTTTGTGTTCCCCCTCAAATCCCTATGTTGAAATCCTAAAAAATAGAAAGAAAAAGAAATCCCAACACCTAAGGCAATGGTATTAGGAGATGGGGACTTTAGGGAGGTGATTTTTTGGGATTAGTGCCCTTACAGAAGAGACCTCAGAGAGCTACCTAGCTCCTTTCGGCATGTGAGGGTGCAGTGAGAAGGTGTTTTCTATGAGGAATGGGCCTTCCCCAGATACCAAATCTGCTGGTATTTTGATCTTGGATGTCTCAACCTTCAGAACAGTGAGAAATACGTTTTTGTTGTTTCACAACCTATCCAATTTATGGCATTTCTATTATAGCAGCTGGAACAGACTAAAACAGTCTATTATGGTAGTATTATAACAATGGATATTTGTTAATGGAGGAATAATAACTACTATTTGTTAAGCACTTCCTAGGTGCCTAATGCCATGATGAGCTCTATCCATATAGAAACTGATTTTATTTCTTTCCAACAATCCTATGAGGCCAGTAGTTGGAGAATTATAATTTTATATATGAGAAAACAAACTTGCAAGCGTTTGTTTTCAAAACAAACAAACCTTGCCAAGCTCTCATGGGTAAAAACTGAGGAACCTGGGATACATATATACAGGTTTGCCTGCCTCTAGAATATATATTCTTAGCTATTATATTATATGCTTCCCCTAAGAAATTCTGGATTGGCAAAGTAACAGGAAAAAATATATTGTTGCTGGATTCTAAATTCTACTCATGTCACAACCAGAAATGGATCCTTAATTTTTTTACAATAGAAAGAAACATTCAGTCATAAAATATTGCTTGCATACTTTGCACCAACCACATCATAACAGTTTCATTTAGGGAGTAGGATATTTTGTCAAGTCCTAAGAATGACTTCCTGATCTCCTGGTATTTTAGTCTTTGTAGCAATGACTTCAGAAGGCTCCCGAGGGGCTTCTCAGCTCTCTCTGAAGCACTAGAGCAGAAGTCTCTGATGCAATACATCATAGCAATCCATTGAGCAGAAGAACCCTATGCAGATATGGGGAGGATATTACCATGCATCATATCTACCCTATCGAGATGGCATTTATGGATCTTTAACATGATGCACGATGTCCAAATGTTCCAATAAGCAATTTCTAAGGGACAAATTCCCTCACTTAGGAGAACGGTTTGTGTAATGTAATGTCTGTGTACAAGGACAGCATCACTTACTTGACTACACGTGTTGTTTTGACTTGCTTGATCTGGGCAGGTGTTATTTCTCTGTCTGGTTCACCATGTTGATAAAACCACGGGTTACACTGACCTCATTTATAAGCCTTGCATTTCTTCCCACTCCAAATCAAAGGAGCCAGTATGTACATTCAAAATAAGAATGACATTATCCTCTCAAATCAACCCGAATACTTCACTAAACTGTGGTGTTGTGTAGAGTATAAGACTGTTATGTAGTTCTTAGATAATAATATAAGACATTGTGATAATCGCTCTGTTTAACTTAAAGTTTTAAAAAGTGATCATTAAAAACATTACATTAAGCAATCATGGGGTTTCTTTTGGAGGATAATGAAAATGTTCTGGTATTAAACAATGGTGATGGTGGCACAATCTTGTGAATATACTACACACCATTGAATTGTACACTTCAAAAGAGTGAATTTTAAAGTATGTGAATTATATATTAATAAACACAAACAAAAGAGACCCCTTCTGACCACACACATACAAAAAAAATCATATGTGATGTATTCATCTTTATTCAACTTCATGTTAGTGGAATGCCATTGGAATCAGTGTGAAATTCAGAAAGTTTTATAGGGGTTGATACTAAATATTATTCCATTTCCTTATGAATAAATACATGGATTAAAAGTATCAGAATAAGTGCCCATGGAGAAAGGTGGTTTAAATCCGTATATATGAATACTTATCTCTAAAAGGAAATGATCCATAATAATTTTGTTTCGCATCATAGAAAGGTTAGAAAACAGATTTCTTAAATGTCAATGGGGGAAACTTGGACAGGGACAACGATTACAAAATGAAACCATTCTCTTCTGGATAATAACGTGCATTTCTAGTAGCCACAAATAAATATCATGTGAGGGGAAACTGTAAACAGGAACCTCTGCAGAGAGGGCAAGCCAGCAGGCAGCATCTTTCAGTAATACAGGTGAGTCCTTTGTGTTAATCATCTCTCTTTACAAGCAAGACTCTCAAGCCAGTAAGCTGATCATCCTACCTCGTTAAGTCATATCTAGATTTCAGTTCCCTTTAGGTGACACAATGTACATTTTCAAATGTCTCTTATTAGAATATTTTGATTTTCATTTTCTCCCCCAAATTCCTGAGCACACATTTTAATCCTGCATCAATGTTTTGGAGGATGAAAGGGATTCAAAAATAAGTTTTGGTACTCATAATTAATTGCAACGTTCTCCCTTTTCCTCTCTTTTTTTTTCTTTTTAAAATTTACTTTTCTTCTTTAAAGTTTACCATAAGATCTTGTCATTTCTTTCTTTTTTTTTTTTTGCTCCTTTCAAGCAATGATAATGGAAGTTCTCTTAACTAATCTCCACTTAAGACTCACCAAATTAGCCAAAGTCTTCATTCTGTTTGTGAAACAGCAGTGATGGGAACCTCGCACAGCCTCAATAAAATGTTTGAGGTGCCTGTCAGTATGTGTGGACCTTCTGCTCCCATTAGTTGACTTTTTACAACCGTCAGTTGTGTGTATGTTCTCAAACCTATCTTTGCCAGTAACTATTGTGACTACATAATTTCATAAATATCTCCTAAATCATAAAAATATTAGTTTAAAAAGAAAAGAAAAAAGTTATGATTTCTATAAAAACCAGGCCAAGTACTCTGGAAAGCTGCTTCAAAAAGAAAAAGAAAATAAATAGTGTTTAAGTAGTTGTGAACAAGACAACTGCTAAAGATGAAGAAAAAAACCCAGACCAGGCGCAGTGGCTCATGCCTGTAATCCCAGCACTTTGGGAGGCCGAGGCGGGTGGAAGGGTGGATCACTTGAGGTCAGCAGCTCGAGACCAGACTGGCCAACATGGTGAAACTCTGTCTCTACTAAAAATACAAAAATTGGTTGGGCGTGGTGGTGCATGCCTGCAGTCCCAGCTACTCGGGAGGCTGAGGCATGAGAATCGCTTGAACTTGGGAGGTGGAGGTTGCAGTGAGCCAAGATGGCACCACTGCACTCACTCCAGCCGGGGTGAACCAGCGAGACTCTGTCTCAAAAAACACACACAAAAAAAGGAAAAAATGCCAAATGTTCAGTTTAATCTGAATTCCTAAATTTCTGTTAAAATATTTGACAATGGAAGCTTTGATTGGTGCGAGGTCAGTTGATAAACAGATAACTGGGGGCAAAGGTTCACTTCAGGGAAATCTCTAGACGGGGCTGAGCAGACTAAAGGACTGCAGTCATCTAGAAATCATGAGGGCACTCAACACATGAAGGTGGAAGAAAGGAGATAACAGATGGTAGGAAAGATAAAAAGGAAAAGGAGGCAGGAGAATGCTCATGTCAGTCTTCACTTTGGCATTTGACTTAGTTTTGGGTAGCAGCTCTGTACCACCCAAGGATGGCTCACTGCTGTGGGCTCTCAGAGCCCAGAAACATACATAACAAGAAGTATGGCCACCTAAACACAGAGTCACAAGACCCTCACCCTGTAAAGGGTGAACACAGGTACTTTGCTATTTAAATAGATGTGACATTGGTTTGGCTATATTTCACGGATTAGAGCTTTTAATATGACACACATAAATTTGTGTTTAAATTATTAAACACTATACCTAAAATGTCAAAAAGCACAGTTAATGCTGGGCAATACAATGTGCTATTTAAATGATATCAGGATTGCATTAGGTTTTATTCTAGCTTGGAAGCAGTTAGTGAGAAAACATTGAAGAAAGCCATTATACGGTGGGTTTTCTTCAAATCACTTAAACATCTGGAATATGTTCTCCATGAAACAGAAAACCAAGTCTAATTTTATTATGACTAGTTTCACGCAGGCAGAATTTTCAGTTCATTAAATGTTGTCTGATTATAGATACAAAAGTACTGATTTAGAATGATATGTAAGTCTGATATAATAAGTTTTTTCTTCATAAAAATTAAATTGCCTGTCATATCTTTGCTTATCTTTATGTAGCTAAGGATTTGTTCAAATACACATTTAAAATTACAGTCATCTACTACTTTTCTAAGACAAGGAAGGAATTGTCTATTAACAAGGGAATCTCATTTTTGAGAGAGGAATTTTGACTCGACAGTTAAGAGAACATTCCTACTGCAAAGCACAGAAGGTCAGTTGGAAAGACTGGAAAGAGTAAATTGAGGGAATTCTGCTTGGAGGGGTTTTATTTCCTCTGTGAAGTAGGAATCAACAGACCTGGTATAGTCTGCAGTGCCTGGCATAGCGTGCAGTGCCTGGTGTGCAATGAATAGTCACTGAATGAAAACATGAATTAAGGGTAAGTGGGAACATTTGAATTAATCGTAATAGAGACTGTGAGAGGGAGTTGACCTAAGAAATGTAATGAGGTTGGCAAACAGTGTTGAGGGCCCACTTGAGGATGAGGTTCAACATTTTTTAGCAGAATCAATCTGCCTGACTTTCTCATTTTCTCCAACAGTGTTGCATGTAAGCATGGAGAAAACAGTTGATCCAGGTTTGGGGTTTCGTCAGATGACTGTGGCTCACACATTTAAGCATAAGGAAGTTTCAATACTAGCCAGGATGTAATTGAAAAAACATACTGTGGAATCTAAACTGGATTAGGAGGAAAGCAAAGCAAAATGAAGCTTGTAGATGGAGAGAAAGTAGAGGGGTCAGTTGTAGAGGTCC